ATCCTGCAGAGTCGGTGCTTCTAATCAAGGGGGAACGACTGCAGACCTCTTGAGGAGTGTGACTGCAACTGGGTCGCTGGGATGGAGGGGCATGGGCTGGACAGCACGACCACAGGCAGAGCTCAGGCCCACCCGCCTCAGCTGAGAACACAAAGTCAGAGCTGGGACCTCCCTGATCATAAAAAATTCCCCCAGCTGAGAAGGCAAACCCAGAAACCTCTTGGGAAAGTCATGTCAACACTGTTAGGGTGACAATGATTTCTCCTGTGGGTAAGTATTTTTTAATCACGGGAAGGTTTTGAATTATAGAAATGTTTAAAAGAATTAAGATATAGCATTAGTATTTTTGAGATAAGAATATCTGTGCGTAGTGGGTAGTTTACGTACTTACAATATTTATGACATTTTGGTGCGTTAAGATGCATAATTGAATTTAGACTTGAATTTAGATTGTAACCTTAGTAAATGAATAGCAACATCAGAACATTTAAGAGAGCTTAAGGGCCCCAAACAGGTGGCTCCATTGGTTGGAGCATCGTCCTGATAGGCCAACGCTTCAGGTTTCATCTCTGGTTGTCAGGGCACATACGAGAAGCAATCAACGAATGTGTAAGTAAGTAGAACAAATTGATGCCTCCCTCTCTCTCTCTCTAAAAAAAAAAAAAAAGAAAAAAAAGAAAAAATCAAGAAAAAGGGAGCTTGAGGTTCACCACAGCCCTGGCCAGTGTGCTCAGTTGGTTGGAGCGTTGTCCCGTAGACCAAAAGTTTGCAGGTTTGACACCAGTCAGGACACGCACAAGAAGGCAGCCAGTTAATGTTTCTCTCATATCAATGTTCCTGTCTCTCTTTCTCTCCCAATTGCTCTCTCTACAGCAATGAAAAAATGTCCTTGGGTGAGGATAAAAAAAAAAAAAAGACTCACAATAGTTATAACTTTAATTTATTAGATTTCCAAGGATTACTTAAGTATTTGGAAAGGTCTGTTTATTAATTAGATAACTTAATTACTTAGATAAGAAAATTGAATGGACATATAAATGTAACTTAAAATACTTCATGGAGGTTATTTAATCCATTTAAAATGAAACTAGATATTAATCAAACTCTTTAAAAGGAATTGTCAAATATTGGGTTTATACATAGAATAAGAAAATTGGTAAGCAGAATTTAAAAACTTAAGGGCAAACCAGTGATTGGTAACTGTATTCCTTTAAAATCTCAAGTAACTACTTTTAAGATAATCTTTTCTATATTCAAAAGCCATCCCTGAGTACACAAAACCTCCCACTGACAGCCTCATACTTCTTGGGGAGATAGCCATCAGACAGGCAGGCACCCCATCACCACCTGATTACCAAATCTACATGCCAACTCTGTCCACCATGTCTTTTTTCTTGCAGGTAACAACAGAGTCATGTTCATTCCATCACTACCCAGTCTCCTCCCCGCTTTGGGCGTCCCTTTCCCACCATCAGCTTTGCACTAACATGTAAACAAACCAGCACAAGGGCCACATGTAAACATTGGCTGAGTGACGAGCTACACATATGTATACAGGTGAAAGAGGGTCCAAGATGTGCAGAGGCAGATATGTAAAACCACCTGGAGTCAAACTATCCCATTTGGGCTGGGTTGCCTATACTGATGCTAGTGGATTAAGGTCATTAAAGTTTAAAGTAGATGGGAAAGTGGTGATTGTTTGGACAAAATTGCTCTTTGTAACTTACCTTGGCTGATTTTAAATGTTAATGATTTTCTAGAATCAACTTCTTTTTAAGACTAATTTCCAGTTTCATGATCACCTGCTTTCAGATTTCAGTTTTCTACATTAAACTACACTCTATACATCACACCTATGAATCAAGGTAAATAAAAATTAACTTTTCAAGATAGAATAATGTAAGTTTAATGTATTGTTAATGCCACGATATGTGTGGGTTTGAAGACTTGCAGACACTTTAAGCTATCACGTGCAATTACTGATGTGAGCCTCCTTGCTTACCATTCCGTTACAGCAGCCCGAGCTAAAATGGGGCAAACATTTTCTGGACATCAGCTGCCTTACTGAATATTCACCCAATACTCAATGGTTACTGTGTTGACAGCTCAGGCTGAGAAATTTAAAGACTTCCTCACAAGAAACATGGACGGTGTTCAATCCCACCCCCCTTGCCAAAGATGTTTCTCTTTCAAGAGAGGATTATTTTTTAGGGATACGATGCAAATTTGTTAACTACCTGAAGTGTAAATGTAAAGTATTTTTTAAGCCCCAGTATAGATTTTAGGCCTAGCTTCTAATGAAAGATGGGTCACGCATTTAGAACGAATTTCGAGCAATGCTTCTTTAAATCCTTGAAGAGTCTAATTTCTAAGAAGTGGTGGCTGCCTTTGGCAAGTACCATACTGCAGCTCTGAGGGAACTGGAGCTCTGCAGTGGGGCCCCAAGGAAGCGCGTGGTGAACGAGGCGCACAGGAGTTCCACCGAACAAGGAAAAGGCCAAGTAGGCTCCATGCCGCACAGCAGGTCTGACTGGCACAGATGACGGTTATGTAGTGTGCAAGTTTTGAGTGCTCTTCCCCCGTGAATCCGCACATAACCCTGGGAATTATGTAGATGGAGAGTGGCAAACATATCTGGAGAAGCTGAAACATTTGCATGAAATCACAGGGTTAAGGACAAGCAGGCACTCCCACCACGCCCTGCTTTAGGCAGCAGCACCAGTGACTGGATGAGGGACGCTGTTTCACAGGACAGCAGCCGGCACCAGGGCAAGGTGTTAGGATGACTGTGTTACTTACACTGATCATACACTAACAACAAATAAAGCTGAACAATGCTGGTTCTAGTAAGAAAATGGCCACAACTTGACCTGTATTTATTGAAAAGTAATAACCTAAAAGAATTCTTTCTGGCTTTTCTGTCCTCTCAGTTCTTAACTTTGGTCTTAAGAAATTATTTTGGCATTCTGGTATGAGACAGTACAAACGGTAGAAAAGTAGGTTATAAACCAGTTAGCACATAGAAACCAAAGACAAACTTGTATTATTACCAAGAATGCTTTTTTTGGGGGGGGGGGAATGTGAGCGTTTCAGTGCATACAAAGATTCTAATTCTAATTGAAGATTTTAATTTGTGATACACTTTGGGAAAACAGATGGACAGAGTTTAGCTCCCTAGAAACATGATTTAATGGCACTGGACATAAGCCATGTGCAAAGGGCTCAGTGGTTCTGCGCTGGAGTTCAGGGAACTCTTCATGAAAAATGAAGGCACATTTAGTGCAAATAAATGAGCAGAGTCACACAACTGAAAAAATGGCTGACCTTTAAAATCCTTGGCTGGCTGTGCGAGCAGGCAGGGGAACAGCAAAACAAGATTTGCCCAGGAAATCTCTGGACATGCAGGAAGGTGATGGCATTAGCACCGCCTGGACAGAGCATAGGCGGACCACACTTCCAATCACACAGGGCCCTGGCCTTGACACGCTCCTGCCTCTACTCTACCAACAGTTTCATCCTGGGGCCATCAATCCACCACCCTCCCCTGGCCCACCTGGCGCCAGGACACCCCAAGGAACCAGATTCTTCATAACTACAACAGTAATTCTGATCCACCCAGGCAGCTGGAAGACTCTCATGGCAGTTTGGGATAAGACTGAATGTCAATTACAACCATAAGCCTTCAAAAAGTTCCTGAGGCCTTATCATGCACCTGTCTTGTGTCCTTTGTTTCCTCCTGAACCGCTACGTGTAAAATGAAAGTCTAACTGGCTGTCCAGGTGCTATCTAGAGCAGCGATTTTCAACCTTTTTCATCTCATGGCACACATGAACAAATTACTAAAAATCTGTGGCACACCAAAAATACGTATTTTTGCTGATCTGATAAAACAGATATAATTTTAAAAATAATAGTAATCACCTACCCTTCTTGCTCCAAAGTGACTTTTTAAAAACTCAGGTGCCTATACATATATATAAGGATTTCTGGTACCAAGAATTAACCAATCAGACACAGCCTTATTATGCAACATGACCAGTAAGATGTAACTGTTATATGACATATATTTACAATTCCAGACAGGGCGTTCACACTGCATGGCTACTGTTGTGTTGGCTGCTGTCATTTAAAAAAAATTGACACTCTAAATGAAAAGAGGTCAGTGCCCCTGACTAGGTAGTCAGGTACTGTATGTGTTAAAAATTCTTGCGGAACACCGGTTGAAAATTCCTGATCCAGAGGGATTCTAGCATAAGGTCAAGATGGCATACTCAACAGTGAGACCTGAGAGAGTTAGGAGAAATTGTTCCTTTCATGGAGGAGGTACAGAGCTCATGTATTTTTGTCTAAGGTCATGATCTATCATGGATGTCTATCATGATCTGTCTATGGATGTCTATTCTTATACAACTGGGTGCCCCAATCTAAGGTACCAGACACCAAACTTTGAAATTATCAAACTCCTAATTTATGTCAAAGACAAAAGATACAATTAAGTCACAGGAAAGAGGAATGAGAAATTACATGCAAATGCTCACGCAATGCCTTATTTCTCCTGGAAGCCTCCCTAGGCTGGGGCTGGAAGGACGTGGACATTTCTGGGTTTGTAACCCTGCTCTACCATGTACCAGCCACACGCCCTTGTGCATTTACTTCATGCCTCATTTTCTCCATCTGTATAATGGGGATGACAGATGCATGCACCTCACAGGGTTGTGATGAGGTATAAATGAGGACACTCTGCCTGGGACAGAGGAAGTGTTTAATTGCATTCACTATAACTAGCCCATGAGGGCACAAGCCCTGTGTTCTGTGGCTTTGCATTTCCAGTGTCCAGCAAACTGCAACTGTTTGATAAATGCTTACTGATTGAGTGAATAGAAGTAAGACATGAGCGAAGAGGGGAAAGCTAGAGGTGAGGGGTAGCTGACAACAGTTTGGTAAAACATTTAAGAAAAAGTACAGTTAACATCAAGCGTGAGATTCTGGTTTCTCTTGGGAGTTTCACTAATTAAAGTTTATTATTTCAATATACAAAAACGTGGTGGTAGAAAAAGAAAACACACTATAATAAATGTGTTCAACTCCTCTCTAAAACTGCTTCCTTTTAGGCACTGAGAGTTCTGTAAATTCTGCAGGCGTTGCTCTCCGGTCATTAAATCACAGTTTTCCCAAAGATACATATACACACAGTCTTGTCATAATACTTTTTTATTACAATATCCAAAAAACTGAGTATGCAAGTTTTGGAGGTCTCAAGACCCCTTCTTCGACTGTAGGAATGTGCCATCTCAAGATAGTATATTTAAACTATAAAGAAGTTCAAATGTAAAGAAAAACATAAAAATTCTGTGTGTCTCTTACTACCAGTTACATATTCTTTTGTAAACCCTGAAACACTTCCCTGTAAAGCAAAAAAAAATATATATATATAAAACATATATATGTTTTATATATATATATATATATATTTTGTGTGTGTGTGTGTGTGTGTCTGTGTGTGTAAAGTGTTGGTAGCTTCCCTTCCCCAAAGATCAGCTCTTTTCTTTAATCATCTGTATTAGTGTCAACAAATGGCTACATATTACTTTGAGAATTAAATACATAATTGTGAAATTTAAACAAGCCAAAGGGCAAGAAGAAAAAGCACTATGTTGATGGCACATCTGGGGGTAAATTATCAAAACATCTCTTTCTGAGTCACCAGTCCCTCTTGTGGAGTGAACTTCAAGGAAATCCTTTCTTATTGCAAGCACAGCCCCAAAGGCACTGGACAGCTTCCTCACTACTCTCTCACCTGGTGTTCCAGTATTGCTACTGGCAAACGTGTTCACTCCCTGGAGAATCTGGGAGCCAGGAAAGGGCAAAGGACAGGAACGAGGGCTGCTGGGACCAGGACCTTCACCTGTGCTGCCTGGCATATGGGAGCCCAGTGTTCTCCTGAGAGGCCACCTTGGAATGCACTGTAGGTCACTTCGTCAAGGGCAGCTTCAGTGCACTCCACCTGTGCCCAGTGTCTTCTTACTGAGAGGAGCTGATAGCATGAACAAGGCGAACAGACTAAGGCTGTTTCCAACTCAGAAGAAATAAAGTGAACAAACTTGCCCCTCTTCCACCTCCCATTCTCTAAAACTGGCCAGGAGCAGAGTGGCCTTGAACGTGGAATGAGGGTCTGGGATGGCGAAGGGGAGGCAGATGGGAACCTGGAGAGAAAGGTCAACCAGGCAAAGGGAGCCAGTGCCCGACCACATCTTCTGGGGGCCAAACGCTAGGCCCTGGGGAAGTGAGTGAGGCACCATGGCCTGGAGGTGGCAGGGCCACGGGGAGGCATCACTGAAGCGCTCGAACGAGGTAGAGCTTCTCCCCATGCTCGCTGGTGAAGATAGGGGCCTTTTTGTAGTGCTCCACCAACTCGTCCATGGTGTGAAACCGCCGCTGCCCGATGCAGTAGACATTGTCCACAAGTTGCACCTTGAAATGTTTGTTCTTCCCTGATGCTTTGAGAGACACGGAGAAGTCACTGGGCTGGGGAGCAAACAGAACACATGTTACAACTGAGCTAGACAGGAGACTCCCCACCCACTGGCAGAAGGACCTGTCTGAGAGTGGAAATGCTTTACTCTGTGAGCCTCAACTGCATGAAGCCTAACTATTTTGGGAATTACCCCTGAATCTTCACTTATACAAATCCAAACTGCCACAGAGCTCAAACAACTAGGTCTCTGTTTTAATACCATTAAAGAAAATAAAAGAGCATCTGATGTTCAGAACAATGCGGGGGCATTCCAAGATTTTGGTGCTCTGAACTGAAAAAAAAAATTAAGTTTTGCTTCACACAGTTTTGGTGCTCAATGTATTTCTTTCAAAACTGGAGACTCACTATGGAATGTATGAAACCAGCGTTAACCTGGATGCTGAAGAAACTTGATGTTTTCATTTCTCAAGCTATTTTTTATACACTGGAAAAATTTCAAAAGGGACTTGTATTAATACATAGGTGGCAGCAAAAGTTTTTCTTTCCCTGACTTATACCACTATTAGCCCTTCAACCATCAAACATTTTCTCATTCTAAAACTTTATTTAAAAAACAAAATTAAAAAAACCCCAGCAAAACCTTTTAAGAGCAGTGGGAAATTCTGGTTGCATTTTATTTAAACATGGCTCATAAAATCCCAGAGAGGGCTGTACAATGGTTCAGGCACAGATTTTATTGACAAATGTTTAAATTTGTGATCATGTCAATGCTTTACTTATAGTTGAATATATTTTAGAAAGATATCATTATTTTTATTAAAATTGGCCTTTTATCTCATTTCTTTAAACATATGCAGAGAAGACACTGAATGAATAATATTCTTTAGGAAATAAAAGTGTTGATTAATTCAATAAAGAACAATTACTTATTGAATACAAACTATGCACCAGACAGGCCGTGCCCTAGCTATGTGCACATGTGTATATACAATGTTCAGCACATATGCTCTGTATGTACTAATAGAAATAACCATTCAGTGGGGGGAACAGATAAAGAAAAATAAATGGGTTGATATATGTACAGTTGTAAGCCATGGTAAGTTCTATGGAAAGGAGAGAACGCCAAGGCAGGGCAGGCTAATTTAAATGGGTGTGGCGGTGGGGTCAGGAAAGGTTTCTGGAGACGCTGGAGCTGAGCCCGAGATATGTGAGGGGTGGGGCTGGTGGGAGAGTAATGGGAAGTGGGGCCCTGGTGAAGAAAGGGACGGAAGGTTCTGCCTCTTCTGAGGTGCTATGTGACCAGCGTGGCTGAGACGCAGGTGGAAAGATGCGAACCTCCCTCAAGGGCCTCAGAATAAAACCCAACTGCCTTCTGGCCCACCATGGCTGTGTCCTTAGCTCTTGCTTCCAATGAGCTCCAGTCAGTGAGACGAAAGTATGTGCCACCCCCAGTCCCTCCTGTTCCTGTTGTGTCCTCCTCCGTCGCTGTACCTTGGTCAACCATTCCTATAAGGCTCCACTCAAAAGTTTATTGGAGAAGCCTCCTTTTTCCCAAACAAGACACGCTCTTCCCCTTCTTGGCTTGCTAAAGAGCAAAAAGTTAACAGCCTTCCAGTGGCAGAACCACAGTGTATCCCAGTAACTGCTTTGTATAAATAATTTACACCTATGTCCTACCCCCTTCATCATGCATCATGCCGGGAGGGCCACATCTTCTCCACCACTCTGCTCCACAGAGGGCCCTATGGATGGTGGCCCCTAATATTGTTCTTAACTGAATCTCTAAACCAGGTTTCAGCTTTTCACAATACCCAGGAACTTACTGCTGCTGAGGATCCACCAGTCCTGCTCCTGCTTTGCCTTCCTCCCTCAGGGACAAAATTAACAAGCATCCCGGCCATTGTTACAGGGAGTTTACAAACTTTTGATTAAGTGTGCAAATCTTGTAGAGCAAGAGATAATGCCATATAACCTAATAACAACTCAAGGAAATGGGTGTCTCAGAAAGTTGAGCTGTAGAATGGGCTGCTGGACTCGCCCACCAGCCACAGCTATTAGCATAAAATAAAGAGACGATTATTTTTACAGTTTGCATTCATGTATTCCTCTGTCCAAACAGACCAAATAAAAACAAATCCTTGAGGTATGCAGGTGGGATGAACTTCAGGAAGAGACAGGCAGGTTAATCTCTGCTTAGGCCTCAGGCTATCTTATTTTCCTAATCATGGCCACTAGAAGGTGGGGGTGGAGCAGGGGCAGCAGGGAGTGGGGAGAACACAGATCTTGAAAATTATTTCCCCAATTCAAACACTTAGAATCATCCCAAAACCTGATGTTATAGATGATCCTGTTAACTAGCCCTATCAACATAATACTCTAAAGCAGGGGTCCCCGACCTCTGGGCCACAGACTGGTACTGGTCCGGGCCTGTTAGGAACAGGGCTGCACAGCAGGAGGTGAGCATGAATGTAATGTGCTTGAATCATCCTGAAACCATCCCCTACACCGTGGTCCATGGGGAAATTGTCTCCCACGAAACCAGTCCCTAGTGCCAAAACGTTGGGACCACTGCTCTGAAGCACAGAATGACATTCTAAGTAATCATTTGATCATGTAATTCTCAAATCATGATTACTTCACAAGCCTGAATAAGTAGCCTCCACATTCTCAGTGTTACCATCCCAGCTGGTTGCTCTGTACAGTTCTGAGAACAGAACACATGGACAGGGACCCCTCCACATAAGCAAGGCCGCAGTACCAGCAGCATGGTCCTTGCCCCTGGAGTTGTTAAATCAGGAGAGATACCCCAGCCAATCAGACCACATCTGTGTACAGCAGCACATACAAGTGATGACCTGCTCAACCTTCTCCTGAGGGCTTCCGGTCTTCCCTAAAGCAATTTTTAGTTTCAGGCTTCTATTATTTTTTATAAGTACATCCATTCTGTGCCAGAAGTTTCTGCTTTCTTAGATCAAAATGGATGCAGTCTCAGTTTATAGTTTGGCACAAGCCAGGCACCATGTAGTTTTATAGATCTTTAATTAATTCACAGCTAAAGCGGCATTGTTGTAGAGTACGTGGGCGAGGCAGAGTAAGTATATGGTAGACCTAATTTTAATTAAGCCAAATGATCAACAGATTTTCTGGACAGGGAAATTTGCTTCTAATGTAAGTCCCTTAATTTCACACCTTGGGGCATCACATGTGTGTGTGCTCAGGCATAAAATGCGTGGAGTGGAGAAGGTCATTTTTATTTTCATGGGCTCCTGAGCAGAAACCTTAAGGCAGGGATATCTAACCTTTTGGCGTCTGTGGGCCACACATTAAATACATTGTGACACATAATCACTCACACACACACACACACACACACACACACACAATCTCATAATGTTTTAAAGTAAATTCATGATTTTGTGTTGGGCCACATTCATAGCCATCCTGAGCTGCATACAGCCCATGGGTTGGACACCCCTGCCTCAAGGTTAAGGACATAGAACTAAGTTAATGTAATGCAAGAGAGCTGAACATCTGGGGAATTCTCATTTCAACCTGAGCAGATTTTCCAGTCTACAAACTAAAGTGAATGGTTACATGTTTCCACTTAACAGCTCTATGTGAAGCTTGAATATAAACATGACCACTGGTTTTCCAAGTGCATTCTCAAGACCAGCGGCATTAGCATCACCGGGAACTTGTCAGAAAAAGCAAACTCTAAGGCCCCACCCCAGACCTACTGAATTAGAAACTCTGGGGTGGGGTGCGGACACTTGTGTTTTAACCCCCAGAAATCTGCATTTCAATGAGCCCCCCAAAGATCCTGACACAGTTGAACAGAAATGAAATTTGAGCCAACCATCAGTGGTGTTCTCACATGTTCAGAGCCATGAGAAGACATGAATGTGGTTTATGGACTACATAGTCCCCTGAGAGGGAGTCCTATGGCTAACGTCCCCAAAAGGCTGTGGATACCCTTCTGATTCTGGGCCCTGCAGCAGACGCTGCTGGTGGGGAATGCCTGATGGAGCAGCTGGGACACTGATGGAGACCATCAATGCCCTAAGGTTTCGTCCCTTCAAACTGATCCAGTACCCTAACAAAGGACTCTGCTTCTAGAGGCAGTGCACAAGGCAGGGGAGCATTGTGGAGAAGGCAGTGCCATAGTCCCGTTCATGTCTCCCATGGTCCTTCCAGGCCTGGCTTTCAGAGACAGACTTAGGGAAGCAGGCACAGTCACCTCAACTAGTAGTGGTGTACTGATATTAAGACTCGGGGCTTTAAATTTAAGCTAGCTAATCAAAGTATTCTACCATGTTTTTGCTTGAATGTCTATATTGGGAAAGGGGACCAGCATAAACAGCAGCTCAGCAATTATTCCCTCTCCAAACAGGCTTTGGTTTTGGGGTGTTATTGATCTGAAGACCCAGGACCCTGCAAGGCAGTTCTGGCTATACAAGGCAGTCCTGGGGCACAGGGCCCAAACCTGTTCGGTGCCCCTCATCCGGAGGTCAATGTGCCACGTGATCCCTGAGGTGAGAATGCTGACTTGGGAACTCTCCACAGTTAATGGGACTATAAGCCAGATCTGCTGCTTTGTTAAAAAGTTTTTGCATTACTGAAAATTTGGAAGACAGGCATTCTTAAGAACTCAGCAATTTCATCACAGATTTGAATATGGCCTAGAGATGGACATGCACCTGTATACCACAGTGTGTAGGACGTGCAAGTAGGACTGTCCACAGTGACCCCAGGTGCAAACTCTCCACAGAATTGTTCAGGGATCCCAGGTCACTGAACACACTCATGTTGAAGTGCACATGCACAGGTATACCAGGGCACATGTGAAGGATGTGGAAGCGGGACTGGTCAGTGACCCCAGGTGCAAACTCTCCTCATATCCATCAACAGGAGAATGGATAAGTAGATGAGACGTATATGTTATCAAACACTGAAATGGATGCATCAACATGGACTGAAAGAGTGCACAGAGTGTGGAGCAAAAGAAGAAAGTAAAAAAGAGTATCTACAGTATTGACCATCTATAGAACTC